ACACTTCAGCCCAGCGAGCAGTGCAAACCCACTTAAAGACTCCTTTGAAGGTATACTTGCTTGCACGGATGCCTCGCCACACCTTAGGACGAGCAGTTTTGCCAGTTATTCAAACTTCACTGTTAGCCATTGGTATGTGAAATTGGTCCTATCCAGTCCTTTCCCACTAAACGACAACTCACGTTTTTAAGGACTCCTAATATCCTACTCACGTATCAACGATAACAAACATCACTGGAGTGACGTGATCGCCGGGATTCTCGTTGGTATGGTTGCTGCAATATGCACGGTTAATTACTTTCATTATAGAGCACTATTGAACTACTATTACTCTAAAATCTTTGCTGCAACTTTGTACAACGTTCACACTCATTTTAAAACTTCAAGAGGGTAGAAAGACAAGGCAGACAAAACAGCGTGTCACGGTTGTGAAGCTACGCGAGAATCGCGAGTGACCGTTGGCTCGGATTCACATTCGTTCACGCTGGGAAAGCCTTTCTCCCAGGGAGCATGGTGCTAAATGGCGCTGATATCGCAAAAGAATGCCATATTCGTGTTTAGTACAAACCACCCTACCAAGATTTTACCAATTCTGGTAGAGAAAAAGGTGGCGCCAACGCCAAGAACTAATGTCATATTCCTGGTCGGGGCACCAAGCTACAGTTTAAAGACAGCTCCCGCGATAAAAGTGTCATGGATAATTGCTTTCCAATTATGAAACAGTAGCTGATAAGTAATTCCCCAAAGAAGAAAAAAGCAAGAAGAGTCCTCAAGAACACCACAAACAAAATTGCTCCCTGACAGTCACACCGCGCTGCGGTCTCTGTGCAACCCCTGGCTCACAATCCCTTTATCACATCTCCCAGTAGTGGATATCATCCAATGCAAAGAAAAGAATACGGAAAACAACAAAAACACGGAAGAAAAACTCTTGAAAAAGAAACTTCAAACTCGGCGTCCGATTTAGGGTTACGGTAGCGTGCATCTTTTAGTGTAGTGTAGTGCGTCGAGCTTTTGCACCACGAAAATTGGGTCGCTCGTGATTTTTACGCGTTTTACCTTGCGAGATGGGTTGGAGTTGACTGTATGTGCTCCTAATGAATAAAATGTAATGAAGGAGAGCAGAATCATTCATGGGCACGAGCGCGGTCAGCAAAAAGGACATGCAATTCCGATTAATGCCCGCCGCCCCAACAAAGAACAACTGAGCGGCCCTCCGTCAGAGGGCATCTAGCAAGTGGGCGGTCCAACTGAGCGGGCGTTAGAACTAGCACTTTCAGCGGCTGTAGCTCGCTCCTCGCTCGCTGTAGGAGTCGCGAGAGTGGGACCGTCTCCAGCTTTGGGGCTGTACTACCATGAACTACTCTAGCGCGGGGACTGTCTTTAAGCCGAAGTTTCAGCAGAATTTTTTTAGGTTCATTGTTGCAATCAGGGACTAGTTTCGTCACTTACACAGGGTGAACAAACGTAAATCCGGGCCAAAGCTTGTTTGCGTGTCTCGCCCAGGTCTACGACTGTAATACATCGCTTCACCTGCCTTGTCTTTCAACATTTTTGAAGCTTTAAAATGGATGTATACACAGCTTTCTTGTTTTGTGGTAGGATGTACACAAGCAGACATGCCCGCCTTAGTTTTCTTGGAACGTTGACATGTTTCTAGCCTTCTTCGTACACAATTTCTTTTAACCATAAGACAGCGATCACACTGAGAAGAATTTTTTCTCTTTTCACATGTGTAATTGAAAGGCTATTTTTAGTGTGTTATGTGGGGAAGAATGTTCACAAAACCAAGTGACGAAGGTGCTACCGATATGCCGACTAAACACAGAGTACGCAAGTGGAAGCGCAGTAACATCTGCAGGTACCGGCCACGAGTACGATAACTCTGAAGAAAAATGATTGTAAAGTAAGTCATCAGTGCATATCCATGGATGAATTTTCCTTTGATTTGCAGCCAATCCAAAATTATGGTGTTCAGATAAAAGCGATACATCGGCACTGAGACAACAAGTCGAAGGAACACACATCGGCCTCGACTGAATAAATGTTACAAGCTCATTCTTTCGAAATGTGTCGAAAAATATTTATCCAGAGATCCTGAACACGCTTACCAAACAAATAACAACATGAAAACTTTGACCATACTCAAAGACGAAACGACCGAACAAGGAACCGTAAACTTAACAGCTCAGGAGAATTTCACTAGAGCATAGGATAACGGCAGACCTGCAAAAAAATGTGGAAATTCAAATGACACAGATCAGACGCCAAAAATCTACATAGAAACGAGACGTCAGACTCAAGCACGGTCATTAAACTTTAAGTGTTCGAATATGAAATCTCGCTCCCGCTCTCTTAGGCCGTGCTTATTATTTATCGCGGGAGCGTGGACAATTCGCAATTTGGGACAAAGTGCGATAAAGGATTAAATATGAATCAATTGACTGCCATCTAGTCTTTTCCCGCCGTTAAGAGGAATCGCGTGACTACGCTCTTTCCTTTCACCGACTCCCCCGAGCAGCACGGAATTCGCCGGTACTGTTCACCCACCCCAGTTTTCGATGTTCGGGTCAACACTTATAGTTGTCTGAAAATCGGTGTTCAAAGATACTTTGACCACCTTAAAGGATGAGCCCCGATTTTTATAGTCAGTTGCTCTTCATCTGTACAGGTAGTGTGAACTGCAGTGACGACCCTGTAGAGTTTTACGTCAGAAAGTGGCAGGTAGCGGCGGTAAGGCTCAGTGCTGCTCAGTGACTCCGCTCCAAGTTTATAGATATTTCTGTAAGGGTTGCGAAGTCTGCCTTTAACACGAACACCACGTCCCTTTGGAACAAAACCTCCGGGCGCCCACAGCACAGGCGCCGTGCAGTTGCAGAAGCACTTACATTTGCAGAAAACTTGTCTCCGGGATTTGTTTGACTTCTGAGCACGAACACCACATCTACATGGGCTGCCGAGGGATAGGGCGAGCGATACACGTGAGAGCGCAGCCTCTTCCTGCCATCGAGCAGAAAGAGGCCGCACTGTCACGTGTATCCCCTCACCCTGCCCCTCTAGGGAAGAATCATTCTGCTTTTGAGCTGCACACAAAGGGTGCTGCTTCTTATCGCTACGTTTCCCCAACTACCCTAGCACAGCGCCTGGCACAAGACCGCCGGAAGTCGGTGAAGCGTCGCAGCCGAAACATGATAAGATGCATATGTGGTGCCGCCGCCTGCGACGCGGCAGGACCCAAAGCCCTTGAGGCAAATTTCGGGCCAAATCTGCCCTCGGAGAAAAGGACCGGTAAGAAACCGTGAACCGTCTGATTTAGGAGGGTTGGGACAGTAAGGTCTGAACAGGCTGACTCCCCATATTCGCAGACTCAATGCAGACTTACTGATAAAACGGCGGACTTTCAGGATGAGATTGGAAAACTTCAGCAAAAAAATATGCTACAGTATGGTTTCACATACGGATTTATGAAACACTTGACACCGAAATGTCATCTGATTATTATGCTGCAGCGGAGCTTTATCAAGAATCACGATCTAAATATTATGCAAGCCACGTAGGACGAGAAAATTTTTCAGTAGAGTTCACAAGATTTCTGGCAAAAATTTTTGAGCCTGTGTTGCATAACATTTAGATCCGTGTTCCAGGTTATTTTCCTGATACAGAAGTCAAAAGAATTTACGTGACAAGAACTGACCAACTTAGCGACCTCTTCCACGAGGTGCACCGCGGCCACGTGGTCCACCCCTGCCTCTTCCACGAGGACCACCACGTCCTCTGCCACGAGCACCAGCACGAGCTCTGGCTGCCTTCTTACGCGGCTCATCATCAATGAGCATGGTGTCCAGCGGGAGAGAATCCGGCAGAATTATATATCGAATATTGTTTCCTGAAAGAAGTTATACCTTTCAAAGAAATATAAAGTGATTTGAGTGGAAACAGAGAAACACTAATTTAGCGCGTTCAAAACACGTTCGCGTTCGTAAAAACGTATCATCATATAATCGTATTCAACTGCCATTCACAACCTTTTAATGGAACTGATTACTCACTAACAAACGGAACCTATCACATTTCCAATATTCATTACGTCAAGATCTCTACAATCTTTCCATATAAACTGTGGTGCAGAGGGAAATAAACAATTTCATGTTTCCATCAGGAGCACCACACAGACTTCTTGTTACACTATCTCATCCCAGACCGGGGCACAAATCCCAGATAGGCTTCCGAGGACGACTGTACATTCTACCCTCCATGGGCAGCACTTGGAGACGTCTGGGAGGATAAGAATACTGTCTTGTACATCGGTTGGTCCCAGAAGTTATTTTACTGGCGAAAGTGCATCCACTAAGCCACTGCGATACTGAGTGGAAGTAGTGCGAACCCATCCCAACAAGGAATCGATAACGGCGAAGTCATCACAACCCTTATTGGGATGGTCATTAAAATCATACTTTATTTACTGAATTATCAGATTACCTCATCCATGGGAGATTTTGTTCACATAAAATGAAGAGAAAACAATAAAAAAAAGCATAATTTGGCTCCAAATTGTGTATATGCCTCTTTCATCGATGACCCGCTCCTAGTGTCTCAGGAGCGAATAGACACCTAGCACGTCCGTTTTCTCAACAAGTGCTGTGGCTGCATAAAATTTTATTGTTTGCAGCACTGTCCAGTAATATGATGGCGTACATAAATATTACTGGACAATGCTGACAGGACTAACGAACAGCGTACACTCCTGGTATGAGGCACGATTCGAAAATCCGGCGCTGATTTCGACCTCTCAGGTTTCTTTTCATTTCTCGAGTTTCCATTCTGTAGCTGTGTTGGCCAAATTTGACGGATACTCGGCTAAATTTACTAACTTCCAAACGATGCGGAAGCACATAGCATCAAGTTCTTTACAGTCGCTTAGTTGGTCGGAGCTACTGGTCAGACTTCGCTCAAACCACACCGGCTAGAACCTTGGGCATTGACGAAACCAGCAACAAAGCCGTTGTTTGTCACTTGAACGAGCTGGTATTTTTATTATTGCTTGGAGACAGTCCCCGCGATCAAGTAATTCGTGGTCGGCCTTCCTTGTGGAAATAGTCCAGCCCCAAGCTAAGAAGTTGTCTCACTTTCGCGACTCCACAGCAAGTGGAGTCGCGAAAGTGAGACAACCGTACAGCCGCCGAAAGTTCTAGTTCTAAGACCCACTCAGTTAGACCGCCTACCCAGCGAACCTGCTTTCCACAACTAACACCGTGGCGCTCAGTTGTTGTGCGTACGAGCTGCGGGCAGAAATCCAAACTGGGTGTCCATTTTTGCTGACCGCGCTCGTGCTCCTGAGTAATTCTGCTTTCCTCCATTACGTTTCTTCACTGGGAGCACATACAGGTCAACAGCAATCCACCTCGTAAGGTAAGACTTGTGCAGATCATCACTGCTACTATTGTTTGGTGCAAACGAAGTTTATGCTTGCCGCAATCCTAAATTCGTACGCAGTTTTCGACAATCTTTCTTTTGCTACGAGTCTGCTTCATTGTTTTGTTGTTTTTCGTTTCCTTTTCTTTGCACTGGATGATATTTAATACTGAGAGATGAGTGATTTGTGAGCCAGGATTGCACAGAGACCGCAGGACGGTGTGACTGTCAGGGAGCGATTTTGTTTATGGTGTTCTTGAGGACTCTTCTTGCTTTTTTTTCTTCTTTGGGGAATTACTTCAGCTACTGTTTCATAACTTGAAAGCAACTATCCATGACACTTTTATCGCGGAGCTGTCTTTAAGTCGTCTTGGCCAAAATATAGCGAGCGAAAATTAGAA